ATCTCGAGGGTGGAGCTATGTAAGTGCAAGTTTTGCGTGCTACCCTGGATTCTCCTCAGGGCACAGGAATGAATTCAGACTTTCGTAATTAACTGCCCCCTGTAATTTTGTTTGATTTACGTAGCACAGAGAGCATAGAAATTAATAACCTAGGGTTTGTTGCGCGCGCCCCCACTCAGTCTAGCACTGAATTTAATACGAAACTCCTTATTTGACTTTGACTCTTGCTTCTCTTTTTTTACTATTTTATTTTATTATTTTACCTTTTCGCCTCCATCTATCCCCCACCCCACATACGCCGCGTACGCCGTGTCGAAACAATGGCACTGTGTACAGGAGCCATTCATTCTACGTCGCTTCGTGTGCCCTAAGCAAAATAGATTTTTCAATTACGACAATAGGCGTAGTTCACTCTCGGCTCTTTCTCCTTCTCGTATATTTTGCGATTGTCGTTGTACGACTTGAAATTCGTACATTGTATTTTTATTGCCGTATCCCAAATAAGTGTTACGTATGGAGTGTCGCATTGTATGGAGCAGAGACTTGGACAATCAGGAAGAAGGAACAAAAATACCTGGAGTTTTGAAATGTGGTGTTGGAGAAGAATAGAGAAGATCAGGTGGACGGATCGAGTGACCAACGAAGAAGTATTGAGGAGAGTCAACGGGCAAAGAAACATTCTGCAGGAAAGCTAACTGGCTGGGGCATATTATGCGAAGGAATGGGTTACTGAGTGATATCATCGAAGGCCAGGTTGAGGGAAAGCGATGACTGGGAAGAAGACTGATACAGATAACTGACGATCTTAAACAAGGAAAGAAGATGACGTTCCAGGAATTAAAACGAGAAGCTGTGAATAGGGAAAACTGGAGAGCTCTTTTTGGGCAGAGCAATGGACCTGTCGTAAGACAGAACACTGAATAATAATAATAATAATAATAATAATAATAATATCCCAAATAAGCAAAACTTTGTTTCTGAAAGTTCCAATTACATCGATAATTCACCGTATCCTGCTCCAACATATCTTTATCTCGTGGACATGTTGTTCAATTTTAGATACAAAAACACACAGCAAGATCTGCGTTCCGCTGTAGTCGTCACGGCTATTTACGCTCGGTAAAAAATAGAAACAACCTGATGAGTTTTCCGTGGCGTGTTTTGTTCTGCGGTCGACTGACTTAGAAGTACGAGTCAGGTCATTCTGGAGGAAATGGGAATCAACTGCGTTCAGTGACTTCTAAAGAAGTATGTCACCGCTTATGTAACCCTCAAACCTGAAGGCGGGGGCACGTAGTCCCCGCATAACAAACAAGATATATTTATTTCTGAAATAACGTTGAAGATGTTAAAGGTGTGACGTAACAGGTTAAATAACGCCCTCCCCAGATTACAAATGGAGTCACATACGATTTCCTTCTTTTATAATAAGCAAATCATTTAATACTAGCTTTTTCTGCAAAACGAGTTCACTGTCTCCATAAGCGCGATGTTACTGGTAATTTAGCCGTCATACCCCAAGACGCCAAGTACTGGATCTTATTCTGAAATAAGTGTTTACCAAAATCTTAAGTTCGATGTCATTTAACCCTTTAGTCAAAGATGGAACATACGGCCCCATAAGACAAACATGACACTGCATAGTGAAAAAGCTCTTACTGCCTTCTCAAATACGATGTTGCAGGTTAGTCAACACCCACACCATAAGTTACAACCCGTTTCCTGTTTTGTATATTACTGTTTCTATTGTTATTACAGTTAAATGACGTTAGTGTAGGTAACTAACTGATGTTTCACAAAGAGATTGATGTTTTTATAATTAGTAGTAACATTACTATCACTGGGTATATACGGCCACGTGTCTTTGTGGAGGGCATTAGGCGTCGTTAAGATTTTAAATCTCAGACGTTCTGGGACAAAGGTCTTTGTTAAAAACGTAACTCAGCTGGTCAAGAAATTAAGTATTTTATGGAACTCTAAGGTTAATTGTCATATATCTCCCGCCATCTTATAGCATTCTGACTCAGTTGAATCTAGTCACTCCTCTCAGACCGTATACGTCTAAAATCTGTTTTAATATTATCCTTATATCTATGCCTGTGTCTATGTCTAGAAAGTAATGTTTTATCCGTAGATTTTCCGATTAAAATTTCCGCTATGCGTACGTCACGTTCTGCTCATACAGCGGTATCGTAATTGATTTCGAATTAATGTCACTGAAGAAAGAACATTACGTCTTGCGTATTGAAAACACGATAACTTAACTAAAACAGAGGACTTCATGATTAAGTGAAATGAAGAATTTACATGTAATAGCTTTTGTTTTAGTCTTCACTTTAAAACATTTCGCTCTGAAGGCAAACACTTGGAGCAGAAAGAGACGCGCGTAACAGTCATGTAGTTTCGCTTACGTGGGACGTGGCACGTCGAAAGACAAGGAGAAGCGTACACAGATGATGGGCTACTGTCTATTGTTTATGGCTGTCATCCTTTGTTGTTTTTGTTTCTGCAGTTTGTTTGTCTGTAGTCCTGATTCGGTACACTGTTCTGTTTCCATAGAGACTGTTCTTTTCACTGTTTGTTTCCTTCAGGGCTGTCTTTCGCCTCTTCTAAGGAGAAAACGTGAAATACACGAAGACCTGATTTTCCATCCGTTTTGACTCCTGTTTTAAAGCCCATGTTTCGAATCCTGATAGGTGCTTATCGACTCTGCCAAACTGTTCTTCAGTATGAATATCGTATCTTCCCGATTATGTAATGCGTGGAACTTTCCCTCCAAATACCTCCTGAAAAACTGACTTCTCCGTGCAGTATTTTACTGTGTGCTTCAACTGAAATGTAATTTATTAGAGACGTCAGTTGATGCAGATAAATAGCTACGATATATCGGTCTAGATTCAGCATACTAATATTTCGCGTTATTTCTTGGTAGCATAAATTTTCTGTATCCGATAGTATACCTGTTGAAAAACATGAGTTCGGTGCATTCAGGAGTTTTGGAGAAACGTTCATTTGGTTATTGGAAAGAAATGAATGCACGAACCTTCTTGAGATATGTGTAATGCAAGTAAATTATAGTACTCAGCGCAGAATTCGCTTATTTAAACCACGCATGGGGCAGCCTTAGAGTAGCCTAGGGCCTGATCTAGTTTTTTTATAATTACCGCGGGCCATGGTATTACACACCAGTCAGTGAACTATAAATAAATTAGTCAGTTAAGTAATCGGAGAAACTAACAATAGATCAGTCCGCGAGTAAGTCAGAGAGCCATCAATCACTGGCCACTGAGTGAGTGTGTCAGATCCAATCAATCAAGCAGTGAGTTGGAGGCAATCTTTCCACATTGAGCCAGTCACTAGTCAGTAGTCAATCTGTCGGTATCGGCCATTTATATATATATATATATTTATTTATTTATTAAGTTAATCTGTGGTCGTTAAATGCCATTCCGTTTGTGACTGGGTGGGTGAGCGATTGAGCTAGCCAGTCAGTCAGGCACCAAGTGACGGAGTGTGCCATCCAGCCATTTGCTTTCGAGGTGAGGAGCCAACTTCTTCCAGATCCGGGAGGCCAGAGCGGTTTTCTTATGAATCAAGGCGCTGTACCGTAGGAAACGACTCAACTGGTTTCACTGGTTATTTTCATCGTTGGACAAAGTCGAGATGATTAATTCTTGTATATTCCGGATGCCACAGAATGGAACCTGCAGCTATGTTTTTTATTTGACCATAAGAAAAAGAATTCGGAACCTGTTTTATACGTGATGTATACAAAGGACCTGACGTTGCGCATGTGCGGGTCTGTTTTATGAAATAATGTCCACTGTAATAAAATATTTTGTCTCCGTTTTATTTATATTCAGCTCACCATCACAAGGTACCATAAAACAGTGTATTTTAGGTTGTGCTACTGGTTATTACTGCTGTCATTAATTTCTCGCACACCACATTCTTGCTTCATTTCATTTTCTTGTTTATATGTCGACAGTGAAGTTCCTAAAATGCATTTTTTCAACTTATTTATATACTTATTGTACAAACTTGACAGAACAGGAAATACACTGGTGACTGGAATCGAATGGTGTACAGAAGAGGTTATAGCTGTGAAATTCATCGTAGGATCTTGTGTGTTGCTCACCTGTTAAAATTATTGAACTTCCGTCGGAATATTTTTTCAGGACGTCAAAGACATAACATGGCCACCGCTTGAAATATTTTGGTTGGACGAATCATTGTAATTTTAAACGGGAAATCTGTTGGTCGATATGTTATAAAACACGTTTACAAATTTTGTATGAAACACTGCATCTTGTTTCGCTGTGCTCTGACGATTGTAAAGTTAACGGATTCGGGTGTACCGCAAGGGGTTACCGAAGAGTATAGGAGGTGTAATGCATAATTCCATGTCTACTAACCTCAGAACTACATGGAAGTACTAAACAATTTGCTCTACGCTCCAATAGCTTAATTATCTTCGAAAGAATATTCAGTGCCCATCAAATACGTGGCTTAGTACGTGACGTATTAAAGTGAAAAAGCTGTCCCATTATACACCACGTAGGCGCTTGTTGGAGAGGAGTATAGCTCCTAATCATTAACCTCAGCACTAGATGTGGGTGAGTGGTCAGCGCCACGCCTCGGCCTCGCTTTAACCCCGAGAAAGGACCTCGGTACCCACTGGATAGGAGGCTTGGTGGACCCTAGAGGTTAAAAAAAAAATCCACTGCCCCTTCGGTGATCGAGCCCTGGTCGTCCAGTCTAAGCCAGTCACTATACCAACTGAGCCACCCCGGCTAGTAAGTGACGTGATGATAAAGAGAACTGCTGCCTCTTCTGGGAATCGATTTCGGTATACAAAACACGACACTGTGAAAGAAAGTAATGCTTCAAATATGTCAGGACTGTGGTAGTTACATCAAGAACCCCAATCCATCTAATTCTAGTACTCAACAGGTGAAGAATGACGACTAGTTGAGATCCCAAGATTTCGCGTCATAGACGAGTTGTTTCGTCTGAACTGGATCTGCAACAGGATTGTTTTAAGACCGTGACACGTAACTGCAAGGGTTATGTGAAGCGTGGGATAGGGTTATGCCGGAGAACTTACAATGCATTTGCCATCAGGATATTGTTGCATGAGAAATGGTATCGCACGCATCTGTCTGTAGGCCCCTATCAGTAAAATACGCGGAATCAACTTACGCTTCTAATCATAACCGACATTTTCACGAGGAATAACCTGATTGGTTGACTGACTTATTAACAAGCGTGATTTTTTCAAAATTTTTAGCCAAATACTGTACCACGCAAGTAAGACTGATTATTTTTCCCTTTTTCGAAGTGTTGGCAGCCTAACACAGCTAACATGAACGCCCGCCTCTGATAGCAGCCTGATTTTCTGACGTTACTGAAGCTCTAATTGAACGCCTACTTTGTTATGTTAAATACTCAGAAAATCTAAACCGTTTGAAGCACAGAGTGACGGTTGATGTTAGCATTGCTTGTTTTTAGGAGGGGTTTTGTTTGTCCGCAGTTCGGCTATCCTGACCCAGGATTTTCGTGTTTTTCTCTCTCATCCCGTTAGTCATATCGCAGGATAGGACTTTGAAACAGACTGTCGCATTTTGCGTGGTCTGCCTCATGCATTTATTTCTGTCTTTGTCTCGTTCTTCGTTTACTGACCCTTGCGCCATAATGTATTGGCCACATCACTCCTTAGTAAGATTTGTGACCTAGAAGTTTGTGGTGTGGCGCGCCATTATGCGGTCTGTGCACGGGGTCGTGACCTCCGTGATGGACTGCAGCAGTTTACCTTAATGTCGTACAAGACAGCTGCAGCTGTTTCTGAGCTTAACTTTATTCGAACATGTTTCATAAGAACAATACGCTGTGTTAAAACTAGTGTTTAACTGCCGAGAACTTAGGCACCATTATCAGTTAAGTCCTTCCGACCATAAAGCTGGGCCGTGTTTTCAATTTTTAACATTCAAAATTATGTTCACACTACGTTTGTACTTATGTTATGATGTATAATCATCCATGTTCCCAATGGTTCCAACATAAAACTAAATACAAGTTTTATAGGACCGACATGTTTTTATTTAACATTTTACATGGCATCTCTAAGAAACTTTGAATATTATTTCGAAGACCTATTACCACACACAACTGGAGGATTCTTTAAGTCAGCGTTTATCAACCGGGTGGTCTGCAGCTCGAATAGATACTCACTTTTGTTAGTTTTCCCCCTTTTTGGCGCTGTATTACTGTTCAGCTTTAAGAGTTTTTCATAACTTTTCTTTCTTCCACATTGGAGTCAAAGAACGACGATAAAACTATAGCTTCTGTCTGTATTTTAGTTGGTCTACATTTTAATCAGTATGTATAAGATAATTTTGAGGAGGGGTTAGCGATACCAGAAATATTGAGAAATACTAATATGACCCTATCTCTTACCTTGAAAGTTCGCATGGCCGCCATTTTCATATTATTTATATTTGGAATTTTACAAGGTACGAATGTGTAATGACCTCAGGTTGCTTGATGTGCATATCTCGTTTAAAAAACATTAATTGACTCACTAATTATTACTGAAGATTCACGTGGACGTGACCACATATACGCCTATCATTTCTTAATAAGTAAGGATGCTAAGCTAAAAGCAGTTTATTGCACAACAGTAGTACCTGTAAGCACGTGACCTGTCAACTTTTTAGACAACTTCATACCAGGTTACGCCAGGTTTTATGCAGTATATACTGAAGCTGGCGAACGTTTTGCAATATCTACACACAGTAACAAGGAAATTCCAGCAGTGTGGCGAAACTGTCATCCACATAAAGACGGTGTATTCTCTTTTCATAGTGGATAGTATTTCACCCCACTAAGCAGTTACATCATCGTCTTAGCATTACCTAAATTAATTCGGAAATGTTTTGTAACAATTTTTACAAACAGGCCTTTTAAGAACAGGAAATATCTTTTGTTGTGGAACTGATTGATTAATTAATGCGAATGTAATTCCCGCAAGTGTTTTTGTTTTAACACTTTACATACTACTGGTGACTATATATATGTAACATTTGCTTTATTGGCCCCAGAATAAATAGAGGTTATTTCCGTAAAGAAACTTTAACAAGCTGATTTTGATTGCGATGTGTTGTGTTTCCTTGGAGAAAGGAACTACATTTTTAAATATTCTTTGGACAAGCTTCGGTTTCGAAGTTTTGATAGGACAAACTGTCCATTAAACATTTATGAAATGTCTTTGTTTCTGAAGACAGTTATAATGCTCCTAAATATCTTTAAGGTTTATAGTGTGTGATACGTGAGTAGTCTGTGGAGGTACGTAAGCCTGGCAGCTGTGATATATTTCGGATGTAGCATGGCTATTATTTATTTTCTGTTTTAAATTCTGTGATATTTCTTGCTGTCTTTCATCCTTTTTTAGCGAATT